TTAGAAACAACAGAATATATCTAATAAAGTTGTTGAGAAAATATGCATCCTCAGGGGTGGGGCATATGAGTCTGTACAAGTAAAGCATTAAATATTCTTATGAATGGACATTATATATATTTAACCTACAAATTTAGAATAATGAATTATGATTGTTTATTTTATATAATCATTTTTCCACAAATGACGTGTGTGTTTGTATCTTAACATAAATATATGATATGATATTAACATTTAAAATTCAGGATTATATCTAGAAATGATTTCTCTTACGATTTCAGGGGGGACAAAAAGAAGAGGATATGATGCAAAATATGTAACATATACATACTCTGCCTGTAGGTAAAAGCGATGTAATTATCTAAGCAGCAGCCTACCTTGTGATAAGAAACGATAATGGAAAAAAAAAATCTTTTGGAAAACATCATGCATGGCACCTCAAAGACTTCACCGAGCATGTCAACTTATCGCCATGGGAACCTGTGATTTGAATTACACTGGGCTTTACATCCACAAAGACATACATACACTGTAATCAAACCAAGATTCGTGTGACAAGGATTCCAGTTTTGTTTGTCAGTTTACACATGTTATAGCCCTGTCCGAATTCTGAGATGACAATTTTACACGATTTCATGGAGGTCCGCCATTGTTTGTCCGTATGAAGTTCTATATGGAGGGATTTTTTCTTTCATTACCCGATATATTGATGGAGGTAAAAAATTTTAAATAAAAAAATAAATTATTAATAAATATTTGATATTATATAAATATATGTTATATATAGAGAAATCAATTTACAATGTATATACTAACTCATGTGAAGCAAAATTAATTTTAAAATAAAAAAATTACATTATAATTATTCTTTTTGAATTTTTAAATATTGAAACTTTTTTATAATGACTTTATAATTAATTTTATTAAAGATATTTTTTCTCAATATATATATAATTAAACTTTCATTCATCCATTTCTAAATTTTCTGGGGACTAGAAAAATTATTGACAATAATTTTTTATTAACTTATTATTTTATACAAGTGGATTAAATACAAATATTAATATATTTTTTTAATTTTTTAATTACGTTCCTAATTTTTTGAGTTGTTCGATACTTTATTTTTAATCACTAATAAATTAATCATCATTATTTTTTATATAAAATTCATAACAAAATACATATTAATTCATCAAAACTCATTTCAATTCATACTTGTATGCATATAATATGATCCATACATATATTAATCTAACAAATCCATAAATTATCATAAACTCTAATATTTTTAATAACTAATTATTAAAAAATAAAACTAAAATTAAATAATAGAATAAATAAAAAAATGAAGGAAACTCACCTCCAACATAAAGCATATAGCATAAAAAGTTATTTACTCAACTAATTAATAGCTTAGGACATGAAGATAAATTTTATAGAAGGAAGAGGAGCAGAAACATTAATTAAAAAAAATTGGATTAATTAGTAGTTAATAAATAAAATTAAAGTTATTAAGCTATTATGTTAAAATTTTAATATAAAAATATTTTTAAAGAAAAAGATTAAGGGGGTAATTGCCCCCTTAATCTTCATTGTGGCTCCGCCACTAGTAGGAGAAGTGCCTTGATTTTTTTTCATATATATATTCTAAGATTACTTTGACTAACTTTGTCAAATAAAATATAAAATACTCTATTTAATGAAAAAAACCACATAACCTTTATAACCTTTAAATGAAGGGCTGTTTTTTAGATGGATCTACGCTTAAAATAAATATTCAAAAAAATTAAATATGAAAGATTAAAATCTTTCTAGAAAGGAATATAAAGGTTAAAATGACTTTATAGAAGAAATTACATGACTCTGCTCCATTATCATCCCTCTCCAAATAGCTCGAAAAGAAAAACATCAAAATATGCCTAAATTTGAATGGCATCGTAGCTTCAACTTCCGATCTATGATCGTTATTTTTCATCCTGGGCCGTTGAATTTGCTAATGGAGATGTATTGATCAGCCCAAATTACTATTAGGCTTTTCTCTCTTCAAAGTTCAACCCAACAAAACCAGGTTGTATCAAACGTGCAGATCACGTGCCACTCTAAGCATATGTAAATCCAAGTTTCAATATAATTTCAAAGAGAAACAAAAGATATTAAAAAATTTAAAAAAAAAAAATGGTTTCACTGCGCTTCCCGTTCTTGTTTTCTCAGCCCAAGAAACACCCCAACGGCATTTCCCGTACCATCACTTCCCGCTCCTTCTCCGCCACCACAACCACCGTGGCATGTGCCCTGGCAGCCGGAGCTACCGCATTTGCAGGCATAGCAGCCACTCGCAACTCCAAAAATCCAAAACAAGATAACCCATTCATCCAAAACGCCCTGAATCTTCTCTTCTCCAATCACCTGCTAGCACCGTGGGCTTCACTCTCTCTAGCAGACCCTTCACCTTCAGTTGTGGAAACGAAGACCGGAGCAGTGTTTCCTTCGGTTATTTTCGAGTCTCGGAGACTTTTGGGAATTGGGCTGCGTAAAAAGATTATCTTGGGATTGAAGCACATTGATGTCTACGCCTTCGGTAATTACATTTACTGAATTTTAGATTCTAAGCATTTTTTCCTTGCATTTAATTTATGGGATAATGAACATAGTGTGTTTTATGAGTGAACAATCATGTTTAAGCGTAAAATTTTGAAGTTACTATACTGGTTTCAGAAGTAAAAATGTGGTTTGATCTTTGCTAATAACAAAAAAGGAAATCACTTGCTACGTAGTAATAACTTTATGGGTAGATTTAGGTGAATGTTTTGAGGCACTTTAGTATTTGTCAGGGACAAGTTTTGTACTAGTTTCATCCATGGTTGAGACAGTTTAGTTTAATTTAGAAATGTGGCTATATATTTGACCGAACTTAGAAATATACCATTACTACATGTATTTGGAAGAATTTAGAACTGTATTAATGTGTATGCAGTATTTAGGTTATTCTGAGATTATATATTGTCGATGTATGACTATGACAACGAAAAGTAGTGCGTGTTTGCAAGATGTGAATTTTGAATGGGTGTCTTCAAGGATGAAAGAACTGGTCAGTTCTTCATTTAATGGGAATATGTCAATTGGCAGGTGTTTATGCGGATGTTGATGAAGTGAGGAAAGTTCTGAGTGAAAAATATGGAAAACTCTCTGTTTCAGAACTCAAGGAAAGCAAGGAGTTTAAAGAGGATTTAATGGGAGGTGATATTGGCATGACTGTTAGACTTCAGATAGTCTATAGTAAGCTAAGCATTCGCTCTGTTAGAAGTGCCTTTGAAGAGTCTGTAGGAAGCAGACTGCAAAATTTTGGGGAACCAAATAGCAAGCAATTGCTTCAGAGGTAAAAAAATTTCTTTTCCAACTAGTGATTTTCTGACAGTATGGTTATAATATATGAATTTTGGAAGGCCTAGTTGTGATTTCCTAAGAGCCAGTTGTTCATTCTGTTTTGGTTGATTGGTTATAAGATGTCACGAACTCTTGTACATCTCATGTCCTCTTATAGCCATTTTTATGTGTAGGTTCACTTCTCAGTTTAAGGATGAATATAAAATACCACGGGGTTCTGTGATAGAGCTTTCAAGGGAGCAAGGCCATGTACTTCGAACAACAAGTGAGATGTCCCTATCTTTTTCTTTTTTTTAAGGACGAAAAAAAAACCCCTTGTAACTTATCCTTCATGGTTTTAAACTCAGCTCTTGTCATTGATTTTGTTAAGGCCAGGAGGTCTGCTTCCGCTCTGACCACTTTGATGAGGTTTTGAAGTTCGTTCATGGCCCAACCAATAAACTTCTGATAAAAGATTTGATGATGTCTGTGGATGTTATTAATCTCTAGACTTCTGGGGATTGCTGGAACATGTAAAAATATCAAAGTAGCAGCAGGAAATAAAAATGACTACGATAGTCATGTTGAGCTATTATGCAGGATCCGTCAAATAAGTACAGCAAAATTAAAAAAATTTAACTATAGTTATCCAGAGCATGCCTATGAGCTCAGTAAATATCAACCTCAAGATTTAAGCCGACATGTATAAACCATGCAATGCCTTACTGGTCTGGTGCAGCATATATATACCCCTATCATATGGTATCAATGTATAAATAATTTTGTAATATTATCCGTCCTTTCCTTTTAATATGTGAAAATATTTTATTTCATTTGCATTTAATCTCTGCAGTTGATGGGAAGGAGGTGGGAAGTATCCAGAGTAAACTCCTCTGCCGATCGATTTTAGATCTATATATTGGCGAGGATCCATTTGATAAAGAGGCCAAAGAAGACATAGAAAGCAAGTTTGCATCTCTCCTTCAAGTAGATCACTGATCATATGTAGAACACTGCTGTGGACGACATCTTGAATAATCCTGGTCTGAGCTGCTTAAGAACTTTCAGGGATATGACCCAATTGTATGGAAGGTTTTGGCAGATTTATATATCTTTGTTATTGAACCTGTACTATTGATAAGGATTATTTAATGAAAGAACTTTCGAGTCGAGATGATCTTGCCACCCTGAGTGCATCATTGAATGTCTGCCCTTAACGATCCAGGTCTCTGTCACCTGGTCCAGGCCAAGAGGTTTGTCATCGAATCATTTCCATGTACCCTCCCTACCAGTGACCATATGATCTCCTTAAACAGTGCGAACTAATAATATCCGCACCCACTTTTACTGGAGTGGTTCATGATGACCTCGCAGCATCGCTTTATTAAATTAAATTCCATGGACCTGTGAGTCATGATAATGCAATTTACCTAAACAAACAATGCTGATGTGATTCTTATCAATGCTGCATCATGTTCTTTTTTCTTTTCTTTTTGGAGCTGCTCCGTCGCATGTGCTTTCACTGTATTGGGGTTCCACATGCAGGCATCATCTATTTAGAACACACACAGCATTCACATTCTACCCCGGGATACGCCGGATAAAAAAGCTTGTGCAACGCAGAACAATGGGACAGCTGTTGTCAATGGACGCATTTTCAAAGCTGCAAATTTTTGGTTAAATGTGGTGCACAAAAAAATGCTAATACAAAAGGCTAAAAAGATCAGTTTGCTTTCCAGCTCCATGCTATATCTTGGACCTTTCTTCACAAGAACTTCTGCGCTCTTTTTCTGACCTCAAATCTTCACGGCACCCACACCCGTTCTCTTCTGCCCAGACAAGTCTTGGTCCATCACCAGACGTTGCACAAATGGATTCAAAATGTTTAACCAAGCCTTGAGGACATCGCGTTCTATTCTATGTTAAACATCATCGTATGGACACATCAGCATCACATTACACAAATCAAATTAAAGTAGACCCTATCAACTAATATCACGGCCAACCACAGTTGCGACTATATGGTAGGCCCGCCTCTAGGTGATGTTCAGATATGGTGGGTCCCGGCTACAATAACTTCAAAAACTGTACGCCTGAGACAGAGCCGATCTTTCCTTTTCATAATCCTGTCATCTCATTCACATCCTTGCCAAACTACAGTCAAAGTGGGCGGCGCACCTCCGGCACCCACGCAAGATAAGAACAGTTCTTCCACGCTTGTCATAAAATCTCACATGCAACGAATCTTCCTCGCCTCTTATAATCCATTCGCCAGCAGACATCTTCAATTGACAGTTCCCCCATCAAGAAGCCTCCCTATTTAATGCAAGGCCCCCGTATCATCCAACTTCAGGGAGACAATCAACTGTCTTCTAGTCCTGCAATCCAGCTCTCACGGCTTTGATTTGAACAAGAAAGCAACAATACAAGAGTGGGCAGCATCGATAGAAGCAGAGCAAGTTGCAGCACCTTTTTGAACTGGCCACAATCACCCTTGCACCATCCGAAATTGAGACCGGATGGTAGTCTGAGTAACTGCTCCTTGATGAACACATCTGATAGATGAACTGCTGACTCTAGTATTTGAGTTCAGAAAGGTGGCTTGGGCATGCGCTTAAGATTGAAGGCACATTCCTACCACAAACCGGGGAGGACTTCTGGGCATTCCCACTTGAGGAGTTGTCACTCTGCTGTGATTGTATAGCAGGAATTGATGAATTAGCCTTGGCACTCATTGAAGTTGTTCTCGAGTTGCCACCACTAGATGGAGACTGGCAACTAGAGGATATTTGCTGCCCTTGTGGTGGCAAAGCAGACTTGGAACTTGACCCAAATGATATTTGGCTATGACCTTGTGGTCCTCTTCCTTGTTGCTGGGAAGCATTCTTATGGACCGAGGTGTTGGTTGCAGAGAGAGATGTAAGAGGTGCTTGCGAGGAAGGGATTCTGGATGGGTTCTTCCACTGGGGGTTTTGTGAAGAACTATTGCCCAGAGCTTGAGTTTGAGAAAAAATGGAAGCATTATTTGGAAACATGGCACCAATAGAAGGCACAGGCAGGCTGTTAGATGTTGATGCTTTACTGTCCGCTGCACCAAAAGGCTGCTGGAGCTGTTGGTGCAAAATATGATGCTTCTGAAGCTGAACTAACTGTTGTTGCTGAGAAGTGGAGCTTGAATTGGCAGCCATTGGAATGCTTGTGGTTGCAGTGATGGATTGAGAAGGCCAGTTTCCAATGGAAGGAGATGACACAAAGTTCAGAGTTCGAGCTGAATTATCAAAAACAAGTGTCTGCCCATTACCCCTGCTTGACTTTCCCAAAGGAGCTTTTTTTCCATCATCAGGATTGGTCGAACTACCTCCAGACTTCCCTTCGGATGGCTGGTGATTCTTCTTTTGTGTGGCTTGAGCTGCTGTTATAACCTGGTATCCCTGACGTGTCATGTCTGGGAAGCTTTGTAAGATGGGAGGATTTTGTGTCATAGCTGAGAAATTAAGGTTTGATGCTGTCTTGCTCCCATTGAAAGAGGCAAATGACATTGCAAATGCTTGAGAGGGGATAAGCTCTACTCCACCCTTTAAATTCTTTTCCTGCAACAGTTGATGTTGCTGCTGCTGCTTATCACCATGATTTCCACTGCCACCAACAGTTGTAGATGCCATCAAACCAAAGTTTGGCCGAACAGGAACCATAAAATTAGGGCCATTAACACTTTTTTTTGAGTGACCAGCTCGGGTATCAGCTATTATTGGGGTGCTCTCCCCACTCATCTCAGTGTCAAGCTTCCTAGAGTGATGGGATTGCACATGCTGCTTCAGTGGCTGCTGTGACTGTGTCATTGTCGTGGTCAAAAAATTAGCAGTGCTAACAGGTGCCCCTCGTGGTTGCCGACTTTGGGTTTGCTTGTGAGATGATGATGAGCCACTTGAATTACTTGCATTTTGATGTCCTGGTTGGACTAGAGATTGAGGTTGCTGCTGCTGAAGCTGGGATGGATGTAGCATCTGAGATGGGTAGAAAGACCCGTTAAAGAAAGGCAATGCTTGAGAAGGGGCTCCACCTCTAAATGTTGGTTGGTTTCCAACAGGAGTGGAGATGGAGAATGGATAGCCATTATTTGGTAGAATTGTCAAATAAGGAGTATCGTTGGCTGCCAAATTTGGGTAACTAAAGCTCACAGCTGCAGCCATTGCTGGCAATGCTGAAGAGTTTGTTGTTAGTCCAGCTATCCCATTGCCAGGAAATGATGCATTGTTGATTGAGGAAGCAGATTTAGAAGGCCCCGTTTGACTTGTCATTGTTGCTGTGGACACTTGATGCTGATTGAGAGAGAAGATGAAAGCAGGGCCATGCTACAATTTAAAAATAAACTAAGCAAAGATCTAAATAGTAAACTCAAAAATTAAACTACACTGCACATGGTAAGACCATACCATTAGATTACCAGCTGGAGCTGGCTGTGGAGGCTGAGGAGGCAAAAGCTGCTGCTTCTGTGCATCTATCAAGGCAGAACTCTCAGAGCCTCTATCTTTTCTAGTAAAAACTGGAATATTTTCCACAGCCTGCACTTTGTCCTGGGCAGGATTTAGATTCACAAATGGAAAGCTTCCTTGCAAAGTGCTTCCACTAATCATGTTTTCCGTGGAAGGCATTGCATTGAGATCCTTGGGCTTGGCTCCACACAGAGCAGCAGAGCCAGCTGTTGCTGGCCAGAAATGGTTCATCTTCATAAATTGCTGGTATAAGCGAACATTGCAAGCAATATAATGGTGGGTTGCACATCTCTTTGGCCGAGGTTGAGGGATAAACTGTGGAGGCTGCACATTTTCCAATAATTCAATGGCAAATTCAACAGCGAATTCAAGATGAAAATCCAAGATATATGTATATATCAAGGTTGGGCCTCGGAAAAAAGAACTGGCGTATGATACCTGTAATGCCTTGGATGATCCGGCAGTACCATCCATGGGCACAACCGTCTGAAAGGAAGGCATGTATCTGCAAATAAACATGAGTTACTTTATAATGATAAATCAAATACACTCATAAAGGATACATTTAAATCAAAGATTGAGAAGAAATTGAAGGCCTAGATATCGCACCCCAGAGATGGAAGATTACTCAGCCACCCAGGTAAAGCAATTGGCGAAGGCACTGAACCAGATTGCGCTGATAAAGAGGAGGAAGAACATAAAGAAATCATCAATAATTTCTCTGGGTCAAAAAAATAAAATAAAATAAATCTATTTGACAGCTCTTATAGTCACCCCCCTGAACCCGAAGTTCAAGCTTTGAATTACCAGTAGTCTCCACTTTAGAAACCGTAGCTTTAGGTAGCAGTTTCTGCTGCACATTGCGATGCGGCTTCTCAAAATCAATTTTTAATCCACGCTTCTCTCCAACTGTCTTTATCTTCTCTTCAGCAATCACTCCTTCCTTCTTCACCAGACTGTCCGCCAATTCTTCTTTCTTAACCACATTTTCCATTTTCTGCAACATAACATAGAAATGAATAGTATTGAGTTCCAAGTAAAACAAAATTACACAAAATGTCAGTCTAATCCAAGCTTAAAACTAAAACAGGGGAGGTGAACTAGCTAACAAGTATATGCTTACCATTGCCACATCTTGGGCTGCAGGCTTAGGATCCAATGACAAATCGACAAAGCTGTCCTGTTCTGGAGAAGACGCCATGGGAGGAGGAGCCTGTTGGAAAGCCATTACACTCTTGAGAAATTTCAACAGCAATATAACAATGGAAATGTAACCGGAATGCGACAAGATAGATCCTCACCATCAGATCGATCTTGAACTTCTCCTCTCTCTGGTTCTCTACCTTTGACACGGTTGAAGTCCTGAGAAACCCCACCAGATAGAGCAAGGAAAAAGATGAGAGAATGGGACATCTAACTAGATATCTGAAATCATAAGAAAACAAAAAAAAACAAGAGGAAAAAGAATCATGGCACTAACGATTTTTCCAACAAGGAATCATGGAAATCAACATCCACTTTATTGCACACAGGCGACTTCTCTTCTGGTAATACAGAATTTTCCCAAGTTAAGACCCCAGATTCTTCAATTGCCAGTTTGGAATCCTGTTGTTTAATGGCTTCCTCCTGTGACTCTAACCCAGACGCAAGTTTGGAAGCACCCATATCATGTGAAACCTCAGACGATTCTGCGTAAAACGATGTTTTTCCCGATTTCGTCGCTGAAGTTTCCATTTTTGCATCCCCTTCCCTTTCATACGTAACTGCAGAAGCAATTAAACCATTTTGAACCACAACTGAATCAGCATCCATTATCTGCGTCTTCGATGCTGCAAATTTCATTGGAAATGGAAATTAAAACACAAACATCATAAAATATCCATCTCCACAATCTGGACTGGTAGATAAATATGCCCACCCAAAACAAGTAAAGAATCAGAAGCAGCGGCATTATTTTGGTTCAATATCGATGTTTGAGCAAAGTTTGAATTCGGAGACGACTTGGAGTCGTTAGCATCCGTTGAATCAAGCTTCTGCAGATCATTTTCAGCCTTCTCCTCCTTCTTAGACCCGTGTGATTGCTTCTTCAAACCATACAAAACCTCTGCTATCTCAATTTCAATATCTTCCTGAACTGAACTAGAAGAACATTTCGACACTTTTGGAGGCCGAGTCTTGGGTCCATTTGGTTTCTGCAAATAAATAAATAAAAAAAAAACCTCCACCCTTCAAATGCAGTCCAAAAATAAAATAAAAAATTAAACATTAACAAAGCAAAACGAAAAAAATATACAAACCGTCTTTTTTCTGACTGAAACATTCGATGAAGAAGGCGATGCAGCCTCAAAACTCCTACTCGCCGCCGGTGAAGTCGAAGCTCGCCTATCTTCACTACCAAATCCACCATTTCCTGATACCCGACTCTCATGGGACCTCTTCACAGAAGCTGCAAAACCAAAAATCACTATTAATTGACCCAAAAAAAAATCATATCAAAACATAGTTACTCAATCTACAAGTATTTTTACCTGACCGAGCCTTTCTCGGTACAGAGACACCAATCATTTCATCTGCAGGCACTCTAAAACCAGCAACTTGTTTTACAGCTCTTGGCGGCGGCCGCAACCGAGAAACTCCGCCATCTTCAATTTCATACTCATCTTCGTAACCGATGCGTTCTTCTGTTGTTTCTTCTCCTTCCTCCTTATTACTTCCTTGTGGTACCCTATCTCCTCCTCCTCCTCTTCTACTACGCTTATTCCTACTCGATAATTCTCGATCTCTTTCCTTTTTACCCCCTCCTCTCTCTCTCAGCCTCGCCGTCTCTTGTAACTCTATTTGTCCATCCTCCTCTGCAAATAAAAAAAGTGAAAAATATTGTTAGTTCAGTTATATATACTGTTAAATATTGTTAGAGAAATTGTTAAGTTTATACCAGGAGAATCTCTTGTAGCTCTCTGCTGTCGCCGCCTTGATAGTCCGTTAGAGGCTGCCATGTTGGATGGTCTTCTACCTTCTCTGTTTCTATCCACCATAATCGCCGGCTACAATAAGAAGTATCTGATTTCCACAAAGGAATGTTATCTAGAAGACAACAAACAAGGAGCACCGCATCAGATAAATGGTGCGCTCTTTCTCTAGCTTATCTCTGTTTCTCTTCTCTTGAGCGGTTTTTGGCTGACCTTCTCTCTTTGTTTTTCCTTCACCTGGTTGTTATGGTGTGCTCTTTTTGTGCCTTCTATAAAATCTCATCTCTTTATCTGCTTTTTTTATGCCGTGTTTGTTATCGTGTCCATTCGCTCAAGATTTAACCTACTCCATTCCGAAGATGGAAGGCTGAGATTACTCACTTGCTTTATTTGGTTATTCGTTGCCTTTGGATTGGCTTTAAACGGACGGCTACTGATGGCCGAAGCCAACATGGCAGATGTGTCCTTGTCCCTCATAGAATATAGCAGCCCCTGCATGAATTAATGAATGGCCACGTGTCATTTTATATCTTTTGATTATCTTTTCTGCATTGTGTCCACGATTCCGCATCCTCTCACGCGCCTTAGGCACGTGAAGACTATTAGTTTTCGTAAAGGGTTGCTAACTTGCTGCTATCCCTGATCTGCACATTTGCCGAGTGTTGATTCGTGCAGAGAAACCGGAAGCAAATATCTTTTCCCCTACATAGATTGCAGCCGGTTACTCGTGGAAAATATATTTAAAAAACAATTGAAATTAAAGTCCATAAAAAGAGGATATAATAATAATGTGGGGCTTGAGTCCCCGAAACAACCGCTCCATCCGGTCACAATCAGCATGGCCCGCTTAACTACCAAAGTACTGGAAGCGGGACCCGCATTGTAAATCAACGAATAAGATTGTTCGGACTGTTGGTTGAAGCCATAACTGACGTTGGATAAGAATACTACGTGGACAAATCATAATTTTGACAAAACATTTAAGAAAAGCAAGTCTGACCTGGCACCTCACAGTCAACCTCGTCGAGCTTCAGAAAGAAGCCCGATATCCCCGCCGTCTGTATGATCCAATCGGACGGTCCATTTTCTTTTTTGCAGCATTGCATATCCTCATGTTTCCACTTTCCACTATATTCATATTTATTTATTTATTAATAAAAAACTAGATATTGATATTTTATTAAATATTGGTGTTCATTTCATGAATACTATTTATAATTTAACATGAAATACATGAATAATATATATTTTTTAGTTGCGTGTGTGTGTTAAATAATAAAATTATAAATATTATATTAAATGAATACTGTGTTTTTGCGTTTCTACTTAAAATTGAAAATATGTGTGTATCCCTACGTTATTCAATAAAAAAAAAATTATCTAAAACATTATATATTCAAATTAACATATTTGACATAAATTATCATCCCTAATTATTATTATAATTCAACTCAATGTTACTACGCGTGTTTAGTAATCTGCTTTTCAAGATATTCTTTTATCTGATTTTTTTAAAATATTTTTTTATAATTTTAATTTGTTAGTATAAAAAATTAAAAAATATTATTTTTAATTAAAAAGTACCATGAAGCATTGCAACACATACTCTATCGTAAGTACATGATGGGACCACATATGGGATAGGAGGTCTACATACCAACTGAAAGAGATGACATGGCGACTGAAAGGGATGACATGGCAGATAGATGACGTCATCTCATTCGAAAGAGGAGAATGGCCTGATGCGGCTCCATGATGCAATGTCCCTAATGCCTGAAGCGAGTATAGATTCTTTTTTATTCTTCGATTAATATACTCGCTCTCCATTGGGTGAACCGTGTAACTTTTTCAAAAAGAAAAAAAGTGTGCGGTTTAGAAGGCGAGTGTGGTGATGCCTGTGAGTATGAGATGGTGTAGATAGGGGGGAAGGTTTTTCATCTTTAATAGAGAAAAGCCACGTGTAAAAGCGAGCACGATCCAAGGCGCAATCACGACAGGGAGGGGCGAGCGAGTGAAAAGCTGGATGGGTAGAGTAGAGGAGTGCTGGTTGCGCGCTTGGAACTGCTGGTAGCCGACTGGCCTCGGATCTCGATATCGCCACGACAACTCCACTTTTGAATGTTTTATTCTTTTTTTTATATATATTTTATAATACTCCTGATAATAGAATAGAAAACGCAGCATAAACAAGTCCAGCCAAATGTTACGGTGTTTATTTATATCATTGTCCTCCGTTATGTTTTTTAAATTATCTTTCATAAAAAAATAAAAAATATATTTTTAATTAAAAAATATTTTAAAATAGAATGCTTACCAAACACAAATATTAATTAAGCTTATAAACCGGGCAGTGTCACCCATGCCTATCCTATGATTGTACCCTAAATGATAATCGTGACTATATAAATTGTGATATTTTCTAAATATTTTTCTGCTCTTGTTAGTTGTGTTAACTTACCAAAACACCCCCTCGTTCTGTTAAAAATCACAGCAGTCTCTTCTCTTCTCGAGAAGGATGTTGAGCGGCACTATTTTTTCCACGGTTGGGTTACAAGAAGAAAGGTAACATTCATATGCCCTTTTATTTCTCGGAACACGTTCGAATGAGAAGGTCGGGTCCTTTAATGCACGTAAATAAAATAGCAAGATTTTGATCGTTCGAGGGTAATATTGGTGAAGTTAGTAGAAAAGGGACCAAGTCGAAATGTATTCTCAAGATGGAGGGTGTATTTGTAGTTTGCTCAAAAAAACCACACCAGTATTAAACGCCCATGGATTTTATTTTATTTTTTATTATCTTCATGTTGATCCACATGTGGATATTTTAATTGAAATTCGAATACAGTAATCGTAATTGCTGATAACATTTATTTGAGAGGATTTGGCTGGCTTCATGTGATATAGCTAGCAAGGACATGCTTTAAATTAATTCGAGAACATCATAGTCAAATGATAGGTGTGGCCATTGATTTGTTAGCTAGTCTAGCAAGACTTCAAAATTAGTATGCTATCGATTCGGAATCATGAGCCTTGATTCCGACCCCAATTTTCTATTCGAATGATATCAAACCTAACTTGCAAGCAAAATTTTCATAGTTGAACTACAGCTCCAACTTCAACTCGAGAAAAAGTTCGATTCTTCAACTGAAAGACCCTTTTCAAATTTTTTAGACTAGTGGAGGGGTGATGGAACGTTTAAAACTATTTACCAGTTCATGTGCCGTCACTCGACCACTGAGGAGGCCCATGGGTTAACGAGTTTTTTCGATGGCTAGCTCGAGAATAAGAGGACAATGCGTAGGCCATTCGAGGTTATCTTTGTGGCATGGAAGGGCCAACGGGCAAGGTTACCATGGTGGATGTGATATAAAATGGTCCACGAGATGCTTCTTCGACACTTCAACCTATTAAATTCAATTGAATTCAAAAGTTGATTTAATGGTCAAGAAGCGTTTTTTTTTCCTTTTGATCATTGAAGTTCAATTCTCGAATTAATTATGAGAATTAATTTTTAAAAAAATCAATAAATTCATTTTTAAATTTTTTATCGAGAGTGCATTGTAGCGGGTTCATATTTTGATTTATTTGTTTATGTTCAATGTATCATGTGCTTTCTAAAATACCCTTTTGAATAAATAAAAAATAACTGCTGCATCTTTAATTGTTTTACTTTTAAAATCTAATTAATAATTTTAAACCTCTATTTCTTTGTTTTGTTTTCATAAAATTTATGTAAATTCCTGTGTTCAAATTACATTAAAAAAAAATTCAGAATAGTAGGAAAAAGAACCTCATGCAATCCTTATATATATATATATATATAAGATAATATTTTATTTTGCAAAAAAAAAAAAGGAATAAAACAAAAACATGGTCACCTAAAAACAAGTCGTGATCGAGTTACACGCGTATCCTTCATGCGCGTCAAGAAAAGCACTTGACCAGCATTGTGAAGAGAATATTTCAGATGGTTAGTTCCGGTTCAATGTCCTTTGCTTCGAGTATAAATCCAACATTCAACGCTAGATACACATGCTTTCTAGTATTTTGCCCTATAAAAAAAAGACAATGGAGGCATTATTCTCTATGCAAGAATGATTCAAATCAAAGCAAGCTTCCATTGTTTTTTTTTTTTTTCCACTTTGGAAAAACAAATGCACCCATTACATACTATCAAATATACTAATAAATTATTTGTGGTATACGCAAAATTATTTATGTGGTGCACGCAAACTGACTCGCACATCCATGTTAATTTAAAAAAATATATATATTAATAAATTATTCATTATATATATATATATATGCACGCGTGTTAATGAATTATTTCAATTCAAAAAATTAAAGTTTTTGTATAAATTTTTAAGATATGTTTTATATTATTTTTTTATATAAAAGTATTTTGAATTATAAATTTATATTATTTAGTGTTTTCAATTAATTTTAATTAAAAGATGTAATAAAAGTAGTAAAATTTAAATTTGTTATTATACAATCATTGATATTTTAGTATTATATCAAAAAATTATTTTAATTTTAAATTTTAAATTATTAAATAAAATTTAAAATATAATTTATATTATTCTTCCGTGTATAAATTATATTGGATATGCATGGTAGGAGTTTTAAAATTCTTATTTGTAATGACAATAATAAAAGCATTAAAAGCTTCTTTTTCCAACAGCCAGGCATGAGTATTCTGTGTATTAAATTATTAAATAAAATTTAAAATATAATTTATATTATTCTTCCGTGTATAAATTATATTGTATTGGATATGCATGGTAGGAGTTTTAAAATTCTTATTTGTAATGACAATAATAAAAGCATTAAAAGCTTCTTTTTCCAACAGCCAGGCATGAGTATTCTGTGTATTAAACTCAATAAACAAAAGAATCCATCCCACTCTTCCACTTGCTAACAATGTCTTGATTAAACAAGTTTGAGCGAATCCTAATCAGCTTTTTATTATTGGTTTGCGGGTTTATTATGCTCACATGTGATTGGATATACACGCACACACACGCACACTAGTTTTGGTGATGCAATTTGTAGTGGGATAGATTGTTGTTGTTTGTAAAAAATAATATTCAGATATTAAAATAATACAAAAATATATAAAAAATTAATTATAACAAATATATAACCTTAATAATAAAATATAAGCTGGCTCAAAACATCTCATCAAATTAGCAGCTTGAATTATAAAATTTAGTAACTCAATAAAAAAATAAAAAGTTTTTTCAAAAAATTGTGATCCAGATCATCGAATTTGAAGTATCTAGTATAAAAAAATTATAAAGTTTAATTT